CTTCACGTGCCCTTGAGCACAAGCTGCCCGCACAAATTAGTGTTTACTGTTGTTTAGATGTTTACTAAAAATACCTGGATTTTATTAAAGCAGCTGACAGATTTAAACTGATGCTCCCCGGGATCCAGTGGAAAAAAGGGAGATTTAATTTGACAACAGAAGTTAAGGAGTTGAGGGTAGCACAAAATATGGAGTACAGCGCTTCGCGATTGTCAAGGGGGGGGGGTGGCGACAGCGGAGTATAGCGCTTCGCGATTGTCAACGGGGGGGGGGGGGGGAGTACAGAGCTTCGTGACCGCGGAGTTGTGATCAGCTGTTTTAGCGCAGGGCTGCTGTACAGACCGACGTTAACAGCAGCCCTGTCTGTGCACACGGAGACCGACTCTGTCGTCCGGTGATCTAACCGCCTTCTGGAAAAGCTTCACATTTACGTCGGAACGCAAAGGCGCTTTGTGACACAAGTGACGGTACACATTTCAGATTGTTGCCGCGCATGCGTACCTGCGTACCAGTTATGTGCACCCCTGTCTATAAATACAAAAACAATACAAATGTGTGATTATTGTGGATTGGTAGGTAAATACACACACACACACACACACACACACACACACACACACACACACACACACACACACCCACACACACACACACACAGCCTCTCATAGGAAACAAGAGTGGCTGACCTTTGACCTTTACCATTCAGTCTGTCTGGAAAATACCAAGCCTGGAATCGATCAACACTCCTCTCTCCCAGACAGCACCCCCCCCCCCCCCCAACTCAGACTCCCCCCCCCCACCACCACCACCTCCATCATCACACAATCCACCCGGCAGCAGCAAAGCCCTGAGCTTATAGCATTGACTTTTTACTGTAGGACCACACACAGGTAGAATCATAGAAAAACAATACTTTGTTACGATAATTCTTGGGGAAATGTGTGTTATTCATGTAATGTGTTTCAGATTCAAGATGCTTATCATTTTAAAGGCACCACAGGCAACAAAGAAAAAAAGTTATTTTCATCGTGTTCTAGCAGGAGGAGAGATTAGCATTCTAAAATTAGTTTAGCCACATATTCTAATGAGAACATTTTCCAGGTGTCAATCAATCTTAAAATAATATACCAACACCCACGACCATAATATGATAGACAATATGATGTAGATACAATGTATTACTATTTAATGGGAATAGCACTCTTATGTACTGCCTTTGCATGTGCTAAGCAGTACTTAACAGATGTGTATGAATATTTGATTTGTTTCTTCCTGTATTGACCTGTCTGTTTTTGGCTCTGTGTTTCAGCTGTAACTGTGTGTGGAGCAGATGTCAGCTGCTAAGTGCAGGTAAGTCCTGCTCACCATGTGATGTAGTGGTCAACAAACAGTGATACAGTGGGAGAAAAAGTTAACTTAAAGTATGACGATCACATTTTAAATCAGTAGTCCTTTATTTAGAATGAGATTTCCTAGCACTACATGTCCACTGTTCAGTATGCCCTCTCTATTGTTGTCTTATATTGCTTAGTGTTCATCAGATCCATACTCATACCTTATGCACTAAAGAAGATTGGTGCACAAGACCGTCCCCTTTGCCATTTTTGCCTTTACAATTACATATTCAACCCTGCATTATTGATGAGTTGGATGAGTAAGCACAACAGCTTAACAAGAATGTAATTTGCAAATTTGATGAGCATAAATATTGCAATGCCATATTTGGAATGGTTTCTTCCAATATCTAAACATTTATACCAACAATAACACATTAGGTAGACAAAGAAATACAAAGATGTACCAACTGGCTGTAGTAGTTTTCCTTACCACTACATCACTGGTGAAAATGTGTGCGTGCACCTGCAGAGCTCTTGTGTGTCCCCCCCCGGTCCAACCTGTCATGGCTGTCCACTCCAACTCGCTGTCAGCTTGAGTTTTTCAAGTGTTGGGGAACATTCAACGCTGTCGGTGAGTTTGTGACTCAGACAAACCATCGAGTGTTGAGTGTACCCTTACACTTGAGTTCACATCTGAAACACACACTGAGACGCACCTCGGATATGTGGCAGTGCATTTCATAAAGCTTCTACAGCCAAAGTGAACTCATCCCAGCTCTTCATTTTTCTCTTGCATGGTAATAACGCTGTTACACGTGACCATGGATGTATACAGATATAAAGGAATCTGAATACAGCGTTGGAAGCAGGGCCTATGAAAGTTGCTCAGTGGTCCATGCAGTCAGTATATCCTGACTGCTTCTCCCAGGGATTTACCGACGATTTTCACAATCCATCGAGCACCTTTAATCCTCTCCGTTGTATTGACTGTGTTTGCTCTGACTTTCTATGATATGTTTGCTTTCATCTTTTTGCCAAGTGCTTTTTAGAAAAACAGTTTTTGTGAACACATCCCATGTGTTTTCAAACCCTCAAGGAAGCTGTATTAGTTGGATGAACAAACTAAATGGCCTTCATCTTTATACAAAAAAACAAGGTGCTCAAGTAGACATAGCAATAGTCAAGAAATCAAGTAATAAAGACATCAATCCACAGGAACATGTTTCACCTTGTCAGAAAAACGGATGGAGTGAGCTCACAAAACAGTGATCGCTATTTTAAGTAATTAATTATTTTCTTAACTTTTCTTAAAGGTCCCATGTCATGCTTTTCTGGTTATTACCCGTCCCCTTGTGTGTTATGAAGGTTTTTATGTATGTAAACGGTCTGCAGAGTCACAAACCCTCAAAGTACACCCTGTAGTGAGTAAAACTCTAACACAGAAAAGACCTGTCTATGCTGCCCCAGAACGCCTCGTTGGAGATTTCTCTTTTTCCATTGTTTACTTCTTGGGTATAGTGACGTATTTCGGGTGTAGTTACGTCCGTGGAGCCGTTACGTTTGGACCAATCTGCGGACTTCCTCACACACACACACTCGGCGGGACGTTGCGAGGCTGCTGCGAGGAGCGGGACACTGTGAGCTGGCTCACTGGTGTGGGGTCTGCGAGACAGCGAGACACCGCGGAACTCAGCCTGGGCACACACACAAACTCCCAGCCAGGCTGCGGGTGTGTGTGTGTTCGGGCTGGGTTTCGCTGTGTCTCGCTGTCTCGCAGACGGCCACTGGGCTCACAGGGAGGGGGGGGCAGGAGCTCCAACAAGCCGTTTAGGACAGAGAGTGAATACCAATAGTGGTAAACCAATGGAATAGTGAGAAACCAATGTGAGTTTGGAAAATTGCACAATGTTAATTTATTCTAGTAGACCTCAACAATGGAATTATGATCAGTAGAAATGGCCATGACATGGGACCTTTAAGGCTGAAATGATATGTGGACTTTCAATTTGTTCCCAAATCTTGCACTAGAGCTGTGATAGGAATGTGTGTATAGAGTTGTCCAGAAATTAGTCCTAAACCCAGAAATAAGTTAACATTTTACCATTTCAGGGCTCCCTCCCTCCCAAGTCAGTGTTTTTGTTGTTGAGTTTTTGGTTTGATTCCCGAAATAAGCTCTGTGGTTTATGTTTTGTACTACATCATAAATACGTCAGTCAATACCCCATAAATGTCTGAATCTTTACGTGTCATAAAACAGCGGTTGCTAACAAGTGTCTAAATAAGACTACTTAATGTCATCATGCAGAACATAGCCACCTTTAGCTTAGTGGTGGCGACGTGAAGTAATGTGACCATGATGTAGTTTGTTTCTAGAGCTTAGCGCTTCAAATAATATACAAGTGGACATGTAAGTTTGCCACAAATCTTATTTTCTGCAATATTCCAAAATCCAATGGAAAAATTCCTATTGCTTTACTCCAGGATGCAAACCTCTGGTTTGACACACAAAAATACGTCATCATTGCAGCACTCTATTGTTTTAAGATGTATTACCTAAAAGTCACATGATCTTAAGTTGACATCTCAGTACGAAACAGGTAAAAAAGGGAAACAGATTTGGCTGTTCAATGAAAAGTCACTTGTTGAATTTGGTCTTAAAGGGCCCATGTCATGGCCATTTCCACTGATCATAATTCCATTGTTGAGGTCTACTAGAATAGATTTATATTGTGCATTTTTCCAAACTCACATTGGTTTCTCATACAGCATCTCTGTAAACTACGTGTATTCACTGAATTTCACTCTCTGCCTTTAACGGCTCGTTGTAGCTCCAATAGCTCCAGCCCCCACCCTCCCTGTGAGCACAGTGTGCTCTGATTGGTCGGGACGTTGTGAATCGCGCTGAGCTCCGTGGAGATGTTGTTTCCTTGTTTAGCGATACACAGCCAAACACAGCCAAACTCATCCTGAGCACACACAAACTCACATCCGAAGTAAAAACAATAAGTGTGGCTTGATATTGAGTAAGAAAAAGGTTGATAAACGCTGTGAGAATGGGTCTGCAGAGAGAATTTCGCCGCGATCCCAACTGTCTGTTATCAGCCTGCAGCCAGGGAGGAGAAATCAGCACAGCTGCCTGTGTGTGAGGAAGTCCGTGGATTGGTCAATTTGGACCAATCAGCGGGGGCTTAACGTAACGGCTCCGCGGACGTAACGTAACGGCTCCACGGATTGGTCCATTTCGTTCCGGGTACGGCTTGACATCATGCCGTACCCGGAACGAAATGGAAGAATCAAATGGGCAGTGACGTATCTCCAACGAGGCGTTTTGGGGAGGGGACTCTGTGTTAGAGTTTTACTCGCTACAGGGTGTACTTTGAGGGTTTGTGACTCTGCAGACCGTTTACATGCAGAAAAACCTTCATAACACACAAGGGGACGGGTAATAACCTGAAAAGCATGACATGGGCCCTTTAACTGCTTTCTACATTTTGTCTAAAGCTCAACAATCCATCTGTTATTCCACGGTTCGGTTCCTTTCTGGGAAAACCCCCCCTCCCTCTCTTTCCCCAGCGCAGGTTCCCGGTTCACATTCATCGCTGTCGGTGGGTTGGTGACACTGTCAACTCGTCGAGCGATGAATGACAACCGTGTCCATGCACGGCCACGTTTACTGAAGTGATGTTGTTTATCTGTGTAAGCGGTTTGCAGCTGCCCAGTTGAAGGGTTGTCTTTTTGAATAAGAAATATTTTGTCAAAAAAAATCAGGACATCGATAAAGACTTTGGAACAACATGTTGAACTTGTGGTCTATTTTGTTTTATTACGCAATAAAGAGTCATTTCTACCATAAATAGCTCCAAATGTCATTTTTCAACAAATACAATACTGTAAAGAATGTGAGTATCTATCAGGGTTGTCCTCAGAAACGTTACTGATACCAGTCAGAACATCTTGAACATAGACTGACCTCTAGTGTTTCATTTACGTTACTACATCTAAATAATACAGGATTATTTCAGTCATGTTTAAACATAAATATGGTTTCAAATGAATGTGAAATCAAACAATTTAACACAGTGTTTAAGCAATAAATAATTTAAACTAAAATATTGGATCATATATCAAATCATTGGAAACATGTTTTCCCATCAATGCCTCAATGTTTGTGTGGAACAAACGGTATTAAGGTAGAGGTCAGACTACTGAAGACCTGTCAAAGAAAAAGAAGGATATTAGTATATTACATTTTTGTCAATTGGGTCAATCTGTTAATTAATTGGTGTGTATTTATCCACTTACACTGACTGCCCTACATCTTCTTGTGTCTGCGGCGAGAGGCCTTGTAAATCTCCATAAGCAGAGTGTCCTTGTTGTTCCTGATGTTAGCTTTCGCCGTCTCCAACACAAACTCAATCCTCTCCTGGTTTAAGGGAAGCTGGAAGGTGGAGAACTCCTTCATCTTTGCTTGGACTTCCTCCACATCTGGACCAGAACAAAATCATTTAGCACCAGGAACATATTTGACATCAGAGTTTTGTGTTGTGTCCTATGGTGCAACAAACCTTTACAGTTGTGTCTGTTGAAGAGCGGAATGTAAACGATGGTGGGTTCCTTGTCTTTTCCCTCGAACACATAGCAGTCCTCCGGCCAGTCTTTCTCCTCAAAGATCCTGTCGTCTATCTCTGGGAAAGGCTTCTTCATTGCCTTTGCGTAATCTCTGGCCACACTCAGCGTCTGTGCAGAGAACAGCTAGTTTATAACGCATCCGCCAGACCGGGGCTCCATCAATATACAAAACACCAGCAAGCCCCCTGCCTCACCTCGAAGGTTTGACTAGCCCCCGAATCAAGAGTGATGAGGAGGTCTGCATCTCTCTTTTCACCCAGGAAGGGAGGGAAAGGCATGTTCATCATCAAACCCCCGTCTATCAGCTGCAGATGCTTCTCTCCGCTGATGCATGACGGCACCTCAGCACCTTCCCAACAACACAAAGCACAATATAGTAACTGCTCGTTCTGGTTGATTGTTTCTGGCCATCTGTCTGGCAAATCGCAGTATTGTAAATGTGATTAATGTACAGGTTTTAGGCTTAGTGACAGAAGTTCACCTGGGTATTGGTAGAGGAAGTTTTCAGTTGTTCCCCATTCCCAGTTTCCAATCATAGGGAGGCCTTTTTGTATCATCCAAGAGACTGAAAACAGAGCACAACCAAATGAAGTGAGGTACTTTCTAAAATATGTTGTTTGCCACTTGGCGGCAGCAAAACCAGCTGTAAAAACATCTTCCAATCAATGCAGAAGTTATGAAGCAACTTTAGGATTGTTGTGCTTGTTTTCATCTAATGACTGTAGGCCCTCTCATTGTAGCTCTGTCTTTGGTCTCCACAATCTCTTATGGAACATTTCTGTCTCTTTAGCTGCTCAATTCTCCACCATGTTCACCACCACAGCTCTGTGTCTGTCTGTGGTTTGATGCTGAGCTAAAAGAGTACTAGAAAGTATTGCTTGAATCAAGTTTTTGGATTAAAAGCTTTCTGTTAAACATTGCTATGTAAAAGAAAACCCAATCCAATATTACAAAAATCAATAAATCAAAGAAATGATGATTGAGAATAAATCCTCCCTCTAGTTAAAGTATTTTCTGTGCCAGCAGTGGGACAGATGCTAAAAAAACAATTGCTTTGGTAAAAAGGTTGCAGAGCACAAGCGATAGTTACAGAATATTAGAACTGACCTTTCTCTTGGACTGGTCCTTCACTTAGACTATCGCTCCAGGTCTGTAACGGTTCCATCACTTTCTGACGCCCCTGCTCAAGGATCCCTTAAAAAATAAAAATCATTGTTGATGTCATGATGATAGTTTTTGTATTTAAAGGTGGGGTGAGTTTGAGAAACCGGCTCGAGATACACTTTTTGTTATATTCCATGGAATGCTCTTAACATCCCGATAGCAATGAATATCTTAAGTGCTTTGACAAAAAATCCATAAAAAAATTTCATCTGTGGAAGCCGTAGTACTGTAAAAAGTACGACCAATCATTTTAGCCGGCCCGGCTAAAATAACTGGATGGCCTACCTGCCTGTCAGCCTTCCATCAGTGCACAAACTTATCTCGTGCCCTCATTGGTCATGTGCGCGTTCGTGTGTGTTGGAGGAGGGGCTCTGTAAGGAAGTGGCAGATTTTTCCCGGCTGTGTATTTTCAAATTCTAGCGATCTCGAGCTGGTTTTTCCGAAATTACCTACCCCACCTTTAAAGTTCCCCGTTTTATTTTGAAATGTATTTTCTCTTTGTGTCCAGTTTTACTTCCTGACTGTCTGATTGTGTTCACCTGCTGCAACAGTGTCCCCCCCCCCCCCTCTCCAGCTGTGTGTTGTCTCTGTGATCAGTCTTGTGTGTATTTTGGTCTGTCTTCCCTTGTGTTCTTTGTTAGATCGTCGTCTATGTTCCTGCCTGTTTCCCCAAGTTCCTGTCTGCGTTTCTGCTCCTGTTCCTCATGCCCTCTGGTTTCTACATGTTTAGTTTTCTCTTGTTTTAGTTTTACCTGGTCTGGTCCCCCCCTTTTTATCAGATTTTTAATTGGAATTGTATTACCAACTTCCTGTGTTTTACTGCGTTTGGGTCCTATCGGTTACCAAATCCTTGACAGTTGAGCCATTTTGGTGACCCCTAAACTGCTTATGTACATCTTCACAATCTTTGTTGTTTTACCGTCCAGTGATTTCTTCATGTTTTTCATCTTAGACAGAGCAGTGTTAACCGAACCCACCAGACCTGAGTACACACACACACACACACACACACACACACACACACACACACACACACACACACACACACACACACACACACACACACACACACACACACACACACACACACACGGTAAGTTATTGTCATGAAAAATGGTTCTGTTCATTTGTTTGAATTTGAGTGAAAAAAATAACATTTGTACCTTTCATCCAGTCAGGGCAATAGATTAGCATTGACTCTTCATCTGCTAAAGCGCTGGTCATTATACCTGCATGACAAAGCAGACATAGAATGCACACACTGTAAAAAAGACTTGTGCTGCAGTACCAGCTTCTAGCTTTTAGTTTGATATGCACGAAGGACTGGGTTTAAACAAGCCCGAGGCCACCATACGTACCGTCAGATAGAGCTCATATTTATATGTGTGACTTTGTGCTGGTAAGGGATTCTTTTCATCTTGTGAAGGAGCCAGGTTACCCCCGTTAATGCTAAGCTAAGCGAATCGCCTGATACTGACTTTGATATGCTGTAGGAAGAATAAATCACAAGTGATCAGATTTAACTGTAGGGTTATTATATTTTGATCATACTTTCATAATGTTGGAGGCCTGCAATAATTATAAAAGATCTTGCAGAGTTTGATAAATCTTAAACGTATTCCCTAGAATAAGTCAAAGTCCAGAAACACTGGATCATTCCACAACAGCATTATCGTTACTGTGCTTTGTCGGGTAAAAGTGCATTTCTTTCAAATTGCCAAACCCCAGATTGGTAGAGCAGGCATTTAAAAACAGGATTTTTTTAAATGAGATTCTGCTCACCCTGTCGATGTTCTTTTTTCTTTAAGGACCGGTTTTCTGCACATTAAAACGTATTCTTGATACGTTATTGTTTTAAGAAATCTTTTTTTTTTCTGGATATTTCACCTGTTTTTAATTTAAACATAACAAGAAACTTAACTTGTGATCAAGAGAGACACTATAGAAAAAGATAGACCGCTTTTGACTTCCATAATAAACAAAAAATCAAAGCACTACCTTGCACCTTCAAGGCTTCCGTACAAGTTGCACATATTTCTACATTTTTAGAAGACAAAAGAGACGGACGTACCTTGCATCTGGGTCATGTCCATCTCCGTCTCTTTACCTTCAGGACCCTCATCATAGTTTGAGCTGCCCACATGAGAGGTGTTAATGAAGAGACCCAGATCTGTGAAGCCAGCCTCATGAGGAGTCAGCTCAAACCATTTACCTGAGGACAAAACAGGCACACAGAGCCGGAAAGACACTTTAAAAATACACTACTCTGACCTTTATGACTGTTGATGCAACTTTTCACAGATTGAGAACTTTTGTGTTGTGCACAGTTATGTGCTCAGTACCTCTTACAGGGCCGTTTTTCAGGCACTTTTTGTTTACTGCGTTGTAGATGGGATAGGGGTTGAAGGTGTTCATGCGATCATCAGAGAGACGTCGAAGGACCAACTGCCAAAATAACAAAACATTAGCTCAGTGAAACTATGAACCTATACATTTAAATGTTGTCTCTTTGGTTACATTAATATAACACATTCAGATTTTTATCTTTTAAAATCATAACCTAATTGCAAGGTAAGTGTGTCTCGTTTGTAGCTGTACGGAAGCCTTGAAGGTCCATGTTAGTGCTTCGATTTTTAGTTTATTATGGAAGTCAGAAGCAGTCTATCTTTTTCTGCTTAACCTTAAGACTGATAACACCTTTTTAATCATAAAACAGCAAAAGCAGGTTAACACTCATTTTATTGATTTGTATTAATTAATAGTAAAACATGTATTTTCTTGCTGTTTTTGTATACAGTAATTTGATCATTATTTAGTGTCATTATTTAAGGTAATTTGAGTAATTGCTTATGCTTTTATTTTGAAGGCAGCCTCAGGCATTGATTGATTTGGGTGTTTTTGTTTTTATCAGGGCAAGCAAAGAAGGTTAAAACCATTGTTTATTGATTGTCAACAAAGAATAACCTATGCAAACGATATTCTTGCACAACATCCAAAGTGTGTTTCAGAATCAGAATACCTTTATTAGTCCCACACAGGGGAAATGTACGTAGTTACAGCCGCAAAAAGAGCCACAGACAGCTTAATGTTACATATGTTACATATGCATGAAAAAGTACTAAGTTATGATATAATACAAAATATAATAAAAAATAAAAAGTTACATAATTTTCAAAATACACATCCTGTAACAGTTCTTAGAAACAAGTAAATCAAATGCACTAAAGAAAGAAATCAGGACTGTAGAATAATTTCATTCCCATTAAATAATTGGACCGCCAAGCTGCCTGTCTACCTGGCATGTTCGTTGTTAAGTTAATAATTATATTGTTGGGGATTTTCAGTGTTGATGACATAGAGATTTCCTCACTGGATTTAGCGACTTTTGGAGCTAACGATGCTAGCTACTTTCATTGGAGAGGAACTGGCAGCATTTGGGATGGTTTTGCTTGCCTCTTTATTACATTTGTTAGTCTACTGCTTTATTTTGTCTTAATCCGTACCGTCCCCTTTGCTTACTAAAGCAGAACAAATACTAAATGTTGCTAGTAAAATTCTAGAGAATCACAAGATGCATTCCATTCCATTAACCATTTTACTTTACCTGTTTGGTGATGGCAGCAGAGATGAAGACCCCCCAGATGTCACTAAGAGAGAAGCGCTTATCCTTAGCCTTCTGGCCCAGCCAGGACACGACCTCTAGTGGTTTGACCCCGGGGGCCGAGAGCCTGGACACGGCTCGGTCCATGTTTCTGCTCCACTGTGGGTCGCTGTACAGAGAGTACATCGCCCTGAGAGAGGAAGAGTCAAAGATTCACTCACAGAAAAAAGAACTGACCATGACAAAAATATGTCACATCTTCGCTTCAACTCCTCAACTTCCACAAAATGTAACTTTTTTCAACTTTGATTCATCTATTTGTCAAATAGTTGTTAAGGTGCTTTGAAACTATAGTGTGGTTTTGAAACATGCTTTTATTTGATTTGTTGTATTAATCTTTAAATCCCAACAACAATCACTATTTCAAAAAAGAAAGACGTCCGATATCTGCGTCTGTCGTGGGACTGTCCAATCATTTCCTTCCAATTAAATGATTGGACCACCAACCTACTTGTCTGTCTGGCATGTTCGTTGTTAATTTAATAATGTTCATTTTTGGGGAGTAGACCTGGTGACTATCAGTGGATTTAGCGGCTTTTGGAGATAATGATGCTAGCTAAATGTAACTCTGTTCAACTTTCTTTATCTCTTTGTCAAATAGTTCTTACTATTACATTGCATTGATGTCTTCTTGCTCTTTCATATATATTTTTCAATATACTTTATATGGCACATTTTTGGAAAAGGGCGTGTTACTGCCCGGACCATTTAAAAATAATATTTCGTTTTTTCTGTGGCTGTATTTTGTGTCATTCCAACAAATTAGTTTGTTAAATTATATTGTTAATCAAAGAGTGTAATAAAGGCAAATATGATCTCCTAACCATGTTATCTCTGATATACTGTATTTGGCACCAGTCAAGTACTCCAGTAGTGTAGTGTGCATATCAAAGTGTTTACAAGGCAGTTCCAGAAACTCCTCCCAGGTAGATAACAGTGTCCAACAGGCCTTCCTGTTCCAGCTGATCGAGGGACCCCACCAGACTCACAGAGGCCCTCTGACCCCCGCCGGACCCCAAGATTGCAACGTGAGGGACTGAATCCTTGAAGGAAAGAGAGAGGTAAACAAAATAGAGGAAACAGGTGAGTGCAGAAATGGAAAAAGTGTTTTAAAGTTCTGCTACCAGCAATAGAAGCAGAGACAGGACAATATTTTCCAGAAGTGTGTCACCCAACTCCACTACTACTGTATTTGAGTATTTCCATTTGTTTTCTACTTTGTACTTCTACTCCACTTACATTCAGAGGTAAATCATGAACTTTTACTCCACTACATTTATTTTGTACCTTTAGTTACTTTACAGATTTGGATTAATGATGTGAAATATAATCAAGTCAGCACAATGACTACTACTTTTGTACTTTTACTCGAGTAACATTTTGATTGTAGGACTTTTACTTGTCACAGAGTATTCCTACACAGTTTTTTTCCTACAGTACTTTTTCCAGCTCTTGTCTCTGCAGCAAGGTCTTAAAAAATGGGGGTCCGGCCCGGGGACATAATGTTTATGAATTTAGGGACTTTTAAAACAACATTCAACATTTGAATTCTTGAAATATTCCCGATTTATGACCAAATTATCATGAGCTATAGAACATTATGTTGGTGCTACTTATAAGCAAATGATAGCATTCTAACAAGCTAAATTAAAATGTAGAAAATAGTAGCGTTTAATAACAGCTTTGTTATTGTCATGTTAGCATGCTAGCATTAGCTCAAAGCCCTGTTGTGCACTCGCAGTACAGTGCTGCTAGCATTACCAATTATCCTGGTATGATTAAAACATTTCTACTGCTGCTGTTGACTAGGAAGCATATATGCCTAATAGGAATAATACAGATACGTGACTGCTAAGAAATCTTTGTTTGTGCTACGAAGAACCTTATCTTCCTTATTTTTAGCATATTGATAGAACATTGTGTAAAGACTAAAGGACTGAAGCTCACCAGTAGTATTAGTAACAGTAGTCAACAAAGATAGCATCCACCTTGGCCTACAGTGGAATATCTTATTAAACATTGCATGGTTTACAATTACATTTGGACATTTATGTTCAAGGATCTGAAAGACTTAGGTGATCCCCTGACTTAACATACATTACCATCATTCCATTCCTGGGGTTGTTAACCAATAACTAATGACAACAGCCTCAGCTTTGTTTCATCTTAAGGGCCAAGCAGGAAATGTAAACTAAACTAAAATGTTGAACATGGTTTACCAATACAGTTTAAGTTTTCCATGGCAGCATGTTAGCATTCTGACTTTAGCATTTAGCTCAAAGCATTGCTTAAGTACAGCCTCATTGGTTCTCCAGCAAGGCTGTAGATTCGTATTGTTTCAGAATGACCATGGAAATAATGAGTTGGTGATAAAAAGATACACAAAACACTACTCAATCTGAGTTGACTTGTGTTAGAAATTAAAATCAATGTTTTATGGCATAATTTAGTCTAAAACATACCGTCAGTTTAAAAGCAGTCTTATGAAGAACTCATTGATTTCAGTATTGTGTTCACACCTTAAAAGGTGTGAAAGGAGGGATTGTTAGAAATTAAAATAAATGTTTTATGGCATAATTTAGTTTAAACATTACGTCAGCTTAAAAGCAGTTTTATTCTGAAAATCCTTCATTTCCGGTTAGCATTAGCATGTGGCTAACGTTTTGAAACCGTGAATTGAAGGTGAAATGACATGTGATGTTGTACACTAAACACACTGGGATTAGCACTCATTTATTGACGCTGAATAACGTTTATCAGGGAATGTTTAAATAACCACAGACACCAGAAGGATGTAATTTAGCAACAAAAAAAGGCAGGAATTGCATTGGACCCGCCCCCCCCGACGACGCTGGCCAATAGGAGAAGACCTGAGATGACAACAGGAAGACCAAGCCAAGAAGCATGGATCAAAGCCGGACGGCCCTCTTGGTATGGACCTGAAAAAATCGCTATGAACAGAGCTGAAAAAAGAAAACAGAGAGTTACAAGACTGGTACTCTATCTGGAAGATGTCCGCCAAGGATTGACAAACAGCTTATATATGGTAGAAGCAGAAGATCTGCCAGTAAATGAAGACACAGCAGAAATAACAGAAGAGGCTCCAGTTATCCAAACTCCAAAGCCGTATCCAAGCCTGACCGAAGTGTCTCCTCCCGACATATCAGAGAACAACCCTTCTCACCAAGCTTCAATTCAAGCCCCAAATGTGAAAGAATTGGCGTATGAGGTAAGAATCCTATCCAGTGTCAACCAGCTGATGGAAGCAGAACTCGGCAGAAGAATGGAAGAACTCAGCAGAAGAATGGAAGAACTCGGCAGAGGAATGGAAGAACTCAAAAGAAGAGAGGAAGAAAGACAAAGACAAGAACATGAAGAAAGAAAAAGATGGGAAAAAGAACAAGAAGAGAAACAATTCCGAACTGGTTACTCTCCTGAAACAACACATTCCGCAGAAGAAAGACAACGGGCAGATGAAGCCCATAAAGACATGATGGCAGACAGACACCAGAGAGAAAGGAGAGAACAAGAACAACAAAGAACTCAAAGATGGGAAGACTCTCAAAGAACACGCCGAACAAACTACTCTCCAGACAAACAAAATTACAAAGGACACGATGACAGCGACAGTGCACATTCTGTAACCAGCAGACACTCAGTATGTCCGGAAGACACACAGCAACAACAGACCAGGGGCACTGTACATAGCGTCATGCCATTGATAGCGGCTGGAAGAGGAGGATTTGACTACCAACCATGGACTCACAGGGACATGGAATCATTAGTGGCAAAGCTACCTCCACTCACCCAAGGAGGTCAGAAGTGGGTGAAAGATCTGGAGAAGTACACTGGCCAAGACCACCTGTGCTTGGGAGACATGAGGGCACTGCTTAGACGGATAGAAGGAAGACTAGAGGCAAGAGCAGTAGATTCCAAGGCCCAATGCACTAACTCTCCAGATGACACTTCATTCAACAATATCAGGTCGAGCTATTGGGCTGCTATCCGTCACATCTACCCGACAACACGCAGTTTACATGCCCTCACCAGCCTGAGAAAAGAGCAGGGGGAAGATATGCATACCTTCTTGAAGAGATGTGAAGGAGTGTGGGAGGACAGCACGGGAGAACGACATGATCTTTCTCCATCTGTTGAAATGTTGTGGAAGAACGCTGTCATTAAAGCCCTTCCCCCATCAGTGCAGGCATGCCTGGGAGATGTGGTGGGATTAGACACTAAACCCATTGAAGAATGGAGACAACATCTCATTCACCACGATATGAAATACCAGGCAACACAGAGGGAAAATGATGAAGACGACAAAATACTAGCGAGAAGACTCTTGAAGATACAAATAGCTGAGAAAGATACCGAAGCTAATAAAAACAAGAAATCGACAAAGCAGATGGCCATACTAGCAGAGAAGGCAGGGCGGACACCTCCAACAGTTCAAACTCAGGAAGAACCAGAGAATCAAATGCAAAACCAACAAAGCGGAGGAGGAAGTTTCAGAGGAAGAGGTTTCCAAAATGGTGGCTGCTACACATGTGGTCAGACGTCACATTGGTCCAAAGAATGTCCACAAAACCAAGTTCAGCAGACACCTGTGTATCTTCCTACCCAAGTACAGCCACAAGCACCGCAGTATCTTCCCACACAATTCCAGCAACAGCAAATACCTGTGTATCTTCCTACCCAAGTACAGTCACAAGCACCGCAGTATCTTCCCACACAATTCCAGCAACAGCAAATACCTGTGTATCTTCCTACCCAAGTACAGCCACAAGCACCACAGTATCTTCAACAGCAAACACCTGTGTATCTGCTTCATATGTGGAGATTGTAGACATTTGGCCAGAGATTGCCCCACTCTGCAATATCCACCACAATCGAGCACCTCACAATACAGAGGAGAACCAGTGTCGGATATTAGAAAAATTGAGGCGGAAGCATATGCCAGGTCCATGATGAATATTTCTGTTGGATCAGGGGATTGGGTAAATGTAAAAAATCCACAAGATGAAGTCGTTGCAACATGTATGGAGTGGACCATGGGAAGTTGTAGAACGCACTGCAGATGCACTCCGGATCAGAGTTAACAAAGGAACATGTTGGCACCTTCTTACAAATTGTGTAGCCGTACCGCAACATTACCTGAAACGGCACGGCAGTTAGAACTGATTTTGAAAAAACTGGTACAATACAATAAGGAATTGAACATTTTTAGGAACGACAGCACCAGGAGATGAATAAACTCAAGAATCCGTAGAGTGTAAATACATAGAGAAAAAACACATTTTTACACTCAAACTATTTGCACGTCATAGACAAGGAATTTAGATAATATAAACAAATGTTCACCAAAAGTAATGAGTATAATAGAAAGTAGACATAGGCCTACACTTGAGTCAATTTACATTACTGTGGTCTGATTAGTGTGCTCTGCAGGTTTTATACTATTGTTCTAAGTAACAGTGGGATTTTAAATATTGGAGAAAGTATGGAGATGTTCTTTCGTAGTGTGTGAAATATGTGATGCTTGAAACATGTAAGTATTTCAATTTATAGGAAGAGTTATGTTGGGTAAATATGTAACAATGGTTGAAATAATTTTTAGAAGTTTTTGGAATAACATTCCAAATATAGTATTCCAATCTAAAGTATTGGTTTCACCATTGTGGCATAGTTATTACCATAGGAGGGCTTTAAGAGGGAAATATGAAATGACTTCTGTTTTTAAATCCTTGATAAAGGAGGGAGTAATTGTTGCATGTTCGGACACCCAAGGTTCCACACACTGCTAAAGAGGTTAACGTTGTTTTTTAAGTAGACCAGAATTGAAGATACATGAGTATAATGAGCTATGAAATACATAGCAGAGCTACACGGATCCTAGTAATGGTTTGACTCAAGATAATAGTTATGTACACAGGTTTCTGAAATAGATCTATTAGACATTTTAATACTAATTAGGTGTAAATGTATTGCAGTAGTAGTAGTACTATAAGGAAGTGAGTTTTGTACCAAGTGTCAGGAAATATGGGAAGCAGAAGTCCCAATGAAAAGTTAATACCATCTTGAAAATCATAGTTGAAATTGTGAATGAATAAGGAATGGCGCTCCGCATATGACATATTTTTGTAGATAAAGGGTACCCGCCTATGTTGATTTACCTCTGAAAAGACTCTGCAGAGCACGACATGGCCAAAAGACCGAGACCAAATTACCTTTGACCCTGACTGACAGTGTGACAAAAGCACTGTCAATGACTGACTCTGGGGTGTACCTGACCGAACCTGACTTGACAACCAGACGGTATGAGTGTGAATGAATGTGATCAGTGTAACTGCATGATTCTAAAACAAAAACTAACCAAGCATGGTTTTGGACTAACATATTATTTTGGAGCTCCAAGGGAAACGAGAGGTTTCCTAAAAATTCCACAAAAAGGGGAAACCGCACATGTGACCCATTTCTAATCTACTTGATGATATTTTACTCCCACAGGAGTTGGCCGTTTGCAAATGTAAACTCAAACTAAAATCTGAAGATTCTGTTTCTTTTAGGACTGAAGGACGGAGAGAAACACTTATTTTCACTGAAGTGTTTACTGTGGAAACAATAATAATGGATGTAAAATTGTAAATAATGTTCGCTATGTCCCTAACCAATATTTACCTGAACGTTTTCTTTCCCCTCCCCATTACAGGATTTTGTTACACATGAGTTCATGTGTAAAAAGGGGGGGAGTGTGTATAAATGTATAATGTATAACATCAACATGGCTGTAAAATTCACAATTTAAATGTTTCTTTTAGGGATTGACTGAGCATTGAATGATAGTTTCAGAATTAACCTGCTCCATATCTGGGGATAAGATACTGTTTGATGAATGTTGACATGTTTCTAAATATTGATTGCATTTTGAACAGGTAACACAGATGCAGAAGCAGTGGCCAAGGGGCTACTGTGAGAGATGTAATTCCAGAATAGAATACAGAAGAAGTTGACCTGTGATAATGAAACTATTTTGTAATATTTTAACAGACATTAGAGTAACTGAGGTTTGAAATATAGAAAGAACATATCACAGTTAAGTTAAGCTAAAACATAGTAATGTAATGACACAGAATTTAATTTAGACAACATCTTGTAACTAGCCTGGTAAATAGATGTAAAAGCCATGGACTTTATTGTTTAGGTTATTATGGGGATATACATTTAATTTAAATTCATAATAGAAAGACATTTGATGACAGTATGTTGGAATTCTGCATTCATTTTTCAGCTTGATGATAGACAGGTAGAAGCAGTATTGCCAGGTGAAATTGATGGGATTTCTGCACACGAGCCAAGCAGAGAATGACGTACCTTATAGGACAGATACACTCAGGAAACCACACTCTGACAGCATCATGACTTCAGTTGTTTTTGAATCCATAATGAAATTGTATTACATAATGTTAGTGTGTGTCTTTACCACAAACAGGAATAGTTCATTGTTATATTTAGATTTGAGAAAGATTACAAGGATTTTATTTAGGAACAACACAGATGCTCATCAGACATTTCCGAGCTATTGAAATATGTTATTTAGTTCACCATGAAGATGTTTTATTTTTTTGTAACTTATGCCAAGTAGTAAGATTCAGATATCAGCAGGTTCTGAATTATTATTCCTCTGTCCCATAACCAACAAGAATGTGGATGGGGAGAACTATATCTGCTGTAACCAGATAAAAACAGACCGATAGAATGGCGCTAGAATTTAGTTGAAAAAGGGGGTGTATGAAAAAAAAAAAAAAAAAAAAAAAACTGAAGAGGATAAGATTTAGCTATTTTCAGATAGTTTAATCCTTATATTTTGTAAAAGAACAAGTGCCTTAACACTGAATGTGGTATGAGAACGGTGTCTGTGAAAGGAGGGAGAAAGAAATGTTCAAATACCAAGGTAATTGCTGCTATTTTGAATAGTGATATTGAATGTTAAAACTAGAAGTTTAAGCACAAGGGAAAACTGTTATGTTGAAGACCAACCGAAGTATTTTTTGCATTTTTGATGACGGTTATTTGAACCATTCCATTTTGATAGTATGTTTTTTATATGAGTTATGTACTATGCAAAGTTCAGATGAAGAACTCATTGATTTCAGTATTGTGTTCACACCTTAAAAGGTGTGAAAGGAGGGATTGTTAGAAATTAAAATCAATGTTTTATGGCATAATTTAGTCTAAAACATACCGTCAGTTTAAAAGCAGTCTTATGAAGAACTCATTGATTTCAGTATTGTGTTCACACCTTAAAAGGTGTGAAAGGAGGGATTGTTAGAAATTAAAATAAATGTTTTATGGCATAATTTAGTTTAAACATTACGTCAGCTTAAAAGCAGTTTTATTCTGAAAATCCTTCATTTCCGGTTAGCATTAGCATGTGGCTAACGTTTTGAAACCGTGAATTGAAGGTGAAATGACATGTGATGTTGTACACTAAACACACTGGGATTAGCACTCATTTATTGACGCTGAATAACGTTTATCAGGGAATGTTTAAATAACCACAGACACCAGAAGGATGTAATTTAGCAACAAAAAAAGGCAGGAATTGCATTGGACCCGCCCCCCCGACGACGCTGGCCAATAGGAGAAGACCTGAGATGACAACAGGAAGACCAAGCCAAGAATCAAGGATCCATGCTCCGGACCCGGGTTGCATTCGAATAGTCCATTTAGCTTAGGAACCTTCCTAACGGAGTGAAATGACCCGGAAGTCCCTCAGTGGCAGCCATGATAAGTGCCGTTCGAATTCTCTAAATTAAAAGGAAAGGAGGTTTCAAACTTCCTTTATAACCTCCTTTAGCTTAGGAACCACTGGACCTCCCTAACCGAAAGGAGAGGAGAAAATGCTGCCCCACAATGCCTTGCGGCCGCAGCATTTGCCGTCACACAACAGTCGGCCGTTCACGGAAACAACCGATTATGAACGAGAAATGATATCATGAAAGTTACGGTGCTTATTAAGCATTTTAAAACGTATGTGGTAAGTTGCCAAAGTGCTTTGTTTTGAACGTTCATCAGTATTATAATTAAAAAGAGAAATATGAACGTTAGTTTTTACTGAAATGATCAAATAAAGTCAACATTTCACAGTCTTTACTGAGCTGTGTGGGGTTTGTTCAACTTTTAAAAGATGTTTGAATGGTGATATACACAGTGATAGATGTTAAGGACTAACCGTTATAATAAATACATTTGTATTGATTTTAAGATCTTTTCATACAATCATACGTATTGGGATCATTTGTATTAATGTGGACCGGAGGGAGAGGGTGACGAGCATGAGTTTCACTTTCCTTTTTTATTTCAATTCCAACTTTGGTCATGAAGAATATGTTTCTCTGTTGTCCCCTTTCATAAAGCATAAAACAACAGCATCAGAGCACGGTGCAGAGTCTCTAGATGAGTTTACAGTAGTCCCTCGTTCTTATTAAACATCCATGTTGTAGTCCGCTGTATAGAAAACTGTAGTTTCCATAGTTTCCCCACAGCAGCAGACGCACATTTATGACGTCCGCTGGCGCATCATAAACACGTCGGATAGTGAAAGTGCAGTCGGATTCTCTAAAGTGCCGCAGTCTCTTCTCCTAAATCCTTTTGAATTCTCCTATCCACTATCCCTTAACCCCATGACGTTTCACTCCGAGGTCAAGGAATAGACGATAGGGTTAGAACTTAGGAGCTGTTTTTTTGGAGTATTCGAACGCAACCCTGGGCTGACCAAGACATGGGGAGAGTGTCTCCGCTTGCAATTTCATTTGTAAACCACCGCATCTTTAGTGTAATTAAATGCTGTTAACTTTTATAAGCTTGCCTTGACTCTTTTCAGTCTCTCCTGCTCTCGGGGTTCAAGAATATCTAATACTTGCCATTATGAAAACTGGTTTAAAGCATTTATACTACATATGCAATGCATAGTCAGAAGTGTGCATACGTGCAAAGTATCAATGTAGAACTACTCAAAGAAAGTAAATATATCTGACATATGTATTTAAAAGTAACATTCCCTCAGTCATACCAGTGTACTCTTGATTCCCAGCTTGTTGAGTGCCTTCAGAGCGACTTGTTTCCTCTTCAGGAGAAACTCCTGCTCCCCGGCAGACAAGGACAGGGACTGACGCACAGAATGCTGCAACACAATCAGGACAGTGTTATATGGTGCACAGAAATGAAAGGGCCTGTTAAAAGGGATGATTAAATTGTTTACTAAAATGCTAAACCTTTCCACATTGACTTTACTTTAAAGGATATTTGGAAAAAACAGTAATCTAATAAAACATTGACACAACACATACAGATAGTTAATCAATTTCATTCATATCTTGTTATACACTTTATGTTTAACCCTTTGAGTTTCAATTTATTCTGATAAATGTTCTGTTACATTTCATTTTGTTTTTACTCTTTCATCTCAAAGTCAACTTGTGGCCTTGGAAACCACAGTTATTAAAAAAAATAGTTTCCTAACAGCATCCGGACTCATAGAAATCTACAAGCTGGGATCAAACATGATAAACACACATCTTCAGGACTAAGAAAACTGCATTCACTGGATTTATATCCTGAACAGACACATTTCCTTCATTCCCTCACCTTGAAAACATATGTTGCATTTGTGTCTGTGGTGTTAGCAGGAGTCGGCATCATCTCTTCTCTTGATTCCTCTTCCATCTGAGGAGTGACTGTTGTCATGTTCGTCTTGTTGTCCAGAGGATGTCCCATCGATCCAAACATCGCAGTCCAAGCACAGAGCAGCACAGCAACCCAGCGGACATTTACACACAGCATGGTTGGAAGTTATTCTGGAAAGTAGATACCAGTGTAAAGTCAATGACTGAGCTTCCCTCCTTTTTATATTCCTCCCTCACTCATCTTCATCACTTGTTAGAATCCCATTGATGTCACAGATCACACAGTAACATAACAAATAGTTTGACACACATCTTCCCAGAGAACAACATGCACATCTAAATGTCTTTCTGCTATCTAGAACAACTGCAAGACTATAAACATAACATGACTCAGCGAGAAAAGTCAGTTCCCATGGATGAAGGGTAACGCGCATGTGGTCCATGATTAGTAAATGTATTTGCTGAAACATAACATAATATAGGAGATAACAAAATAAATAACGTCATTTAAATGGTCTTGTTGTATTTCATATAGTAAAAGTTGAATGGAATATTTTGTGACTCACTTTAGAGATACAGACTGGGACTTTTTCCTGCTGAATAAGTAGCACATTATCTCATGTAGAGATTATGATGGGACATTTCATCACAATCTAAAGGGTCATGCGTGGTTGTGACTCATTTGCACTGGCCTACTGATCTGATCTGTTGAGATGTATGTGTGAGGCTATGTGCCATGGTAAGGTTGGCAGTGACATTTGAGATGAGGGTTTGAAATATAGAGTTTATGATGAGCTACTCCCTCAGTTTATGTGAACAGTGTTTGGAGTCTCTTGCTATTTACTTTGATGGAGCTGTCATTAACCCTATATTAGCAACACAAGGATGATCTTTATGTCATCTACAGGGGTGCTCCCTCGTTGTTTGGACCTTTAGAATGTCTGCAACGGACCAACTGCTAGTTTCTTTTCACAAAAATAAATCCCTCATAATGACGTAGTGAATGCGTGTCCACCTCGTAAAACTATGACCTGAAAGGGTCATAGTTTTAGGTGGACAAGGTGGATAAGAGTTCATTTTTCAATTTAAAAAAAAACATTTTGCAATGAATTTAAATGTTAAATCTGTTGCGTACAGAGACTTTCTTCCCTCCAGAGCCACACATGGGAGTAATTGACAAGTGTGTGTGTGTGTGTGTGTGTGGTGTGTGTGTGTGTGTGTGTGTGTGTGTGTGTGTGTGTGTGTGTGTGTGTGTGTGTGTGTGTGTGTGTGTGTGTGTGTGTGTGTGTGTGTGTCTCTATCAAACTGTTATTTGTGTCTGGTTTCCCCCTGGCCCATCTTGTGCATGCCTGTGTCAGCCTGCAACTACTCAACTTCTACTCAAATACCTGAAACCTCTGATCAGAGAACAGTCTCTGCAGAGGAGTCAGAAGAAGACGATATTACCCAACATTTGAATACACACTGAGGGTTATTCCCATGCCCCAAACATGATGCAGACTGGATATACAGGTTTTTCAGTTTCGGTGATTAGCCTGTGGCTTTTGATTTCATTTGCACTTGCAAAAGCAGAGCAGAACATGGAGGGGAACACAACCACTTCTCAGGTGAGAAATGCATGCCTATATTGGTAGCATGATGTGTGCAATCAACTGTCAGTCGAAGTTCTTCGCACGCAAACTGCAACATTTATCAGAATCCCCTGCCAGGATACCCCATGTTGCTGTGTGTGATATTTGTCTATAAAGATGCTTTAGGAAAAAACAAAGACTGCATTGGTTCTGCTGGTTAAATGACTTATCAAATTTCTCTTATTGCATGTTTTTATTTCCAGAAATCCGTCCGTCATTCCCAGTTTCTGTGTTCCGGTGAACAGGAGTATGTTCATAAGAGAAAACAAGTCATTCTGGAGTCACTCAGCAGCCTAGGAATCAACTGTAGTGAAGTAAGTAAGAAAGCTCCCACACGTCAGGGAAGACATTTTATTTCTGTCTCTGTCTTTTTTTTTTCCATTTCTTTCTCTAATGGAATGTATAATTTGTTTCACAAATGTCCTCCTGCACATTTATATTATGTGTTGGCCTCTCCATGACTTCTATGAGCACCATAGACTCCAGTACCTTCATACAGTAGTGAAGTCATGTGATATGGCTTTTTGACCATATTACAGTTAAATATGTACTGCTGAATAAGTTAACATTTGCAAAGGTTATTTACCTAAAAGGCTAATACAACAGCACGATAATATACTTCATATAATATGTTATACCAAAATGTAGTCAAACCCCCACTCTATTATCGTTCCAAAACCTTGCAAGAAGTGCTTTAAGCCATTATAAACATTATTAAAAGAGTACTATTAGTTGTTTAAAAAAATACAGGCAGCTATTTTCAGTGTAAAGCATTTAGCAGCTAAAGAGACAGGACTTGGATTCATTACATGGCTAGAAATAACATGCACAAGAATGCGAATAGTTAAGCAGTTTTCAAATGAACCGTCTCTCCATCATGTTTCCAACAAGGATTCGGTTCCCCACATCACTCTGTTGGCATCAGGCGGGGGTCAGAGGGCAGCGGTGGGTCTGGTGGGGTCCCTCTATCAGATGGCAAAGGAAGATATGTTGGACACTGTGCTTTACCTGGGAGGAGTTTCTGGATCAACGTGGTAAGAAAAATCACACACACAAACATGTATCTATCATTTGACCAACCCTCTTTGCATTAAAAAGTAATTGGCTAGTTAGCACACCCCAGGGCCGGACTGGGACAATAAGTCAGGCCGGGAATTATACACCCAGCCAGGCCACTACCAGTTTTTCTTTGTGCCATTTTGCTGGATTTATTTGTCAATATTTACAGTGTTGCTGCCCATAGTGATAGTCCTATAGTTGAAATCTACTACCTCCAGCGGTGCGTGCGCTGGCATGCGCACGGCTGCCATTAGGCGCACTGAACAGCTGTTTGTGTGCTTTGGGGATGGTGTGGCTGGAAAAGCTCTCTCCAAAAGGCGCCTGACAGGATAGCTCTGCGAGTGCATTACACATGCCTATGGATGGGCGGGGAGAGCCCTCCCCACTGGGGTCCGTGCACACTCTACGCGGGCTATGTGGAGTGTGGAGGATATATGCATGGCGGCGTCGTGGTCTACGCCAGTCCCCTTCATAAAGTTTGATCTCTTGGACATGTCTGGCTCCTTCTCGTCGTCTGTGCTTGCCGGGGCAAAACATGACTGGTGTGGGTCAGTAGGCTGACCCCCCCCCTGGGATAGAGTGCACTTATGTTTTTCCTATGCTCCTTAGGGACCTGGGGAACATGATGCGCAGTAAGCGCCATACAGAGTCTTCCGCACTATTTTTTCCACTTCTCCACGGTCACAACCGGATCTGAGGAAGTGGGGGTGCGGTGGCTGTTAACCAAAGGCCGGTCAGGGGCAGTGTGATGGGTCGATGTTGTTGGACGACAGGGCGTTTATACATCGGGGCTCCACCCACTGTACCCATAGAATCCAGTAGAGGGCGGAGCCTGTGTGATGTATAACGGGGGGTTACGTATTGTAACCCTAGTTATATAAGCACAGGCGGAGCCCTCTACCTGGGGGCCCTGTCTTTCCTATGCCGCTCGCTGAAGAGGGTGTAGGATGACAGTCGGGAGGCGTAGCCGCCTTATATACTGTGGGCATGCACGCGCATTCAGGTAGGCTCGCCCTGATTGGCCGGCTACGTTTATGCAACTCAGTAGGTGAATGCCCGCATAGCATGGTAGAGAGTAGTACCCATAGAGTCCAGTAGAGGGCTCCGCCTGTGCTTATATAACTAGGGTTACAATACGTAACCCCCCGTTTCGTTCCATTTCAAAGTGCTGTTTGACGCTCGGCGTAACCTTGGCGCACTGCCACTCCAACATCCAATCCCAGAGCTTGAAGATTAATCACGGGGTTTGTCAAGCAAAGGGACTGTAGTCCCAAATGATAGCTGAGGATTATGGGTAGTGTAGTGTCTTCGGCCCTCCTAAACTCCTAAATGTTTTTCGGATTTCATATCGCATAAACACCATATCCCAACGTGCATTGCGGCTAAAACATCCAATCACTGAGCTTAAACCATAGCTGAGGATCTTGGGTAATCAGTTCAGTGGGTGTGTAGGCCTATCTGTTTCCGGTTATTTTATTTAGAAATTCAGTTCCTGACGGACGCCAAAAAAGCCAGAGATTATAGAATTAAACAAATAAATAAAAACAAGGATAATTGTGTGTTATTGTTGAGTAAATAACAGTGTGTTATTTAGAAAAGAATAACAAATTAGAAGGAAAAAAAGATTTAAAAAATACAGATTTCAGTGTTCTGAGGCTCTGAGCCCCATTTCTTTTCCTCACAGACGGCAAAAAAAGTCCGACATTATACGATTTAAAATAAAAACAATAATCGTGGCTTGATATTGAGTAAGAACATGTTTTATGAACCCCACAGCTTCCGGTCTTCCAAGACCCGACCGGACAAAAAGACGTGGTGCAGGCACGAAACACACAGCCAAAAGAAATACATTGCTTTTAAAATCGTTCTGTGTGACACGAAAAATAGGGGAAAATCGTGTTGGTGAACACGAATCAATGGATTAAATGTCGTGACTATAACACGAAATGTCGTGAGACTGGGTTGAAATGTTAGCTTACACATTAGCCACATGAATATAAAATTGTATGCATTGACTATGTCCGTGGTTCTCCACCTTTCCAAGTCACAACCCCCACTAATGATCAGCTCAGAGTTCTTTAGTGGCACAATATCGCAAGACTTTTAGCGAAACTGAAAACTAGCATCCAAACACAAGCACAACGTTCGCGTACTATTGCTTGAGCCTATTCAATTAGCACGCTAGCTAGCTAGCTAACTAGCCACTCACCAAAGTTATATTTATGCAATGCTTCATTCATACACTCAAAAGCAGCTCATTCAATCACAAGGATATGGGTCAAGGCCTGTTTTAACTTCAACTGTTTTTTAAAACGATTTCCGTTTTGGCTAAAAAGATTAAAGTTTATTTCCTGGTGATTAAAGCTGGTAAAACACTGAGTAAAGCAGTTTTATTTTTAAAATCATTATTTCCATGATGTGCACAAGGTGGAGCGGCTACGAGCTACATGCTAACAAATGCTCAGCTCTTTATCTGATAACTTAATCAACTTAATAATTTAATGGTTCAGAAGGTTTTTTAAAAGGACCTAAATTATTGAGAGAAGTCTCTTCTCCAAAACAAACTGACCAGCGAACTTAACCAAGAAGCGGGATCAACGGAGCCAGGGTTTCATTGAATTAGCTTACCAGAGATAAGAGGTATCACAAAGGTGTTTATCAACTGACTTTATTAACCCTGGCTTTATTTCCTTGGCTCTGTGTGCGTTCTCATAAAAGAGGGTGTAAAGTAATAGATTAGATAGTATTCAGCCCTTGATGCAATCAGTTCCTCACGTTTTTTCTAACGTGACAACTGCCCAACTCTTACATTTAGGCCCCGTCCACACGGAGACGAAACGGAGACGAAACCGATTTTGAACCGAAGTCGATTTTAAAAAAGTCTTCCGTCCACACGGAATCGGTTCAAGAAACGTGTCCGTCCAAACGCTCGAAAACGCTGGAGACGCTGTAGTACATATGCCGGGCCTGTAAGTGCCGCTGTACTTCCGCCACAAAATACACCAAAAGCAGCAAATAAGACCGATGACGATTATTATTATAATTATATTATATTATATTATTATTGTTGCTGATGGTTGTGGTAGAGGAGCTGTAGATTTGCGCTAAAATCTGTATCATGGTCAGTAGCGTCTGGAGCACGAACGCAACCCTGTGATCCGCCATTGTTGTTGTTGGCGAAACGCATCAGCAATGACGCGGGGGTGAGCAGGAGAGGTGGGGAGAGGCGGGGCTATGGCGTCATTGATTCAGGAAATGATCGTGTTGTAGTGCGTACACACGGAGCCGCAAGCGTTTCGTCTCCAGACTTACCCACTTTGGGAGCCGTTTTCAAAGTGTATCGTTTTCAGGCTCCGAAGCCGCGGCTCCGTTTCGGCTATACGATAAAGAACGTTTGCGGATACAACTGATATAGTCTCCGTGTGGACGGGGCCTTACACTTGATGCAACAGATTTAAAAATATAACCTCAAGCATTTTAGTTAGGTCTGATAGCGTTTCACAATGCAGGATAGCACTTCAAATGAAATTTATTTTAACCTTAACATATGGCATTTTAGCTTGACTTCTCTGTATCTGTGTTCTCTGATAGGTCCATGGCCACCATCTACAGTGACCCACAGTGGAGCACCAACATGGACGCAGCAGTGTCCCAGCTGTCGGGCCCCGGGGTGGAGCTGAAAGAGGCTTTGGCCTGGTTGGGTGAGAGGGCCAAGGAGGAGCACTTCTCCCTCACTGATATCTGGGGAGTCTTGACCTCTGCTGGGATCATGAAACAGGTAATCACTAACACTAAGAAAGTGGATCAGTCCAGTTCTGGGGTCTTTACACTGGCTTCCTGTCTGTCAAATAATTGATTGCAAAATACTGCTACTGGTTTATAAAGCATTGAATGGTTTAGGCCCAAAATACATTTCTGATCTGCTGCTAGATTATGAACCATCCAGATCTCTCAGGTCTTCTGGTCAGCTTTCTGTCCCCAGAGTCCGAACTAAACATGGAGAAGTTCAGTTATTATGCTCCAAATATCTGGAACAAACTCCCAGAAACATGCAGGTCCGCTGCAACTCTTACTACTTTTAAATCCAGGCTGAAGACTTCCCCTTTTGCCGCTGCTTGTAATTGATATATTCATATCTCACACTGCACTGTAACTTTTATTCATGTCCTGTGTTATTCATGTTTTATTATCTTTGCTTTTAAATGAGTCTTTTTTAAATGCCATTTTATAATATGTTTCTGCTGCACTATTTCTTAATGCTCTTAATGTCTTTCATTTTTGTAAAGCACTTTGAATTGACTTGTGTGGAAAAGTACTATACATAAACTTGCCTTTGCTTACCATAGCAAAAACACACTCACTTTAACTCCTAGTATGCCCAACTGGAAACCCAGCCCCATCAAGATGGTCTGTAAAGTAATTCAGAGAAAAAATCTTGTGTTTCAGATGGACTTACGGTGTCTTTCAGATGAGGCCAGCAGAAATGCCACCAACCCTTACCCCATCTACAGTGCCACAGAGATGAACTGCTTCTCAAATGGGCCCATAGAAGGTACACACATATGGGCTTACTTGTGTACTTTTACAATGGAATCAAAAAGAATATAATTTTTTGCTGATTGAAAAAAATACATTTGAGAAAAAATCCATGGACTCTTGCATGTCAAATAAATGTGTGATTGTCCTCTTTATCTTATTTTTGGTTAAAATGTTGCTCTCAACTTTTGATGCAAAACAACGACCTTGTTGAGTTATTGACTTGCAGGTGTAAACACATGTTCTGTCTCTCAGGGAAATGGTTTGAGGTGAGCCCTCATGAGGCAGGTTTCACAGAGTTGGGTCTCTTCATCGAAACGTCTCTCCTGGGCAGCAAATTCCAGAGAGGAGAGCTGCTGGAACAGAAGCCAGAAATGGACATGGTCAAACTTCAAGGTTAAGTGCATACAGAGAGTTATGGAAATAGAGTTACTTAATCAAATAAATTCAAATTGTATGTATAAAGCTTAATATCTAATAATAAGAAAGAAAAGAAAAGTAGGACAACAGAGAAAGACGAAAGGTTAAAGGTGTCACACAATGTAAGCCAATTGCAGCATGACAAGGGGGCTGGTTCAAAACTATACACTTTATCAAAAAGGAAAGTCTTTAACCTACTAAATAAACAGACACATTTAGCTGGCTTTTAATATGAAGTAACTTAAGTATCAGTTAGGTCTTGTTCAAAATAGAGCCATAATAATTGATAACACATTGGGTTCAAGTACCCATGTATTATTAAATTAAAGGTATCCAAATGATTGATTGATTGACATTGTCAAATTGTTTACATTACACATAAAACAATCAAAATGATAACCAATAAATACTGGGTTTTGAAGAAAAAGTGCAGTTACAATCTTTAAACGGCACTAATCAATCTTTTTTTAATATCACCAATAGTTAAAATCACGTATTGTGAATATTTTAACTTTAACAAACCCAACAATCCAAATAGAAAAACAAACCACTGACATTTGTATTATGATTATTTATTTATACGTATTGGTAAATCCTGATTGGTTCACAGATGTACACGCCACCACTTCTTAAATGAGCTCAGCACACTTGATATGTCTGGAATCACTGATAACCAAAACTATGGCAGAAAATAGTATGTTAAACTGATCGAGAAAATATGTTTTGTTTTACTTTAAGAGTGTATTTCTGCCCTTTTAACCCATAATACCCATACCAAAATCTGCACTCATTGACATGATTTGCGTTTATATAAATCCTCACCCTCAAATGGTGTGTGTGTGTGTGTGTGTGTGTGTGTGTGTGTGTGTGTGTGTGTGTGTGTGTGTGTGTGTTAAAACTGTGCAGGTATTCTCGGTTGTGCGTTGGCTGATGAGGATGCGATCAAAGACTACCTCCCCCCCTGGCTGAATGGTAGTTACAGCTTGACATTCCTTACTAAATGTTTTTTAGAAGCTGCAGGGGTAGATTTAATACTGTGTGTGTGTGTGTGTGTGTGTGTGTGTGTGTGTGTGTGTGTGTGTGTGTGTGTGTGTGTGTGTGTGTGTGTGTGTGTGTGTGTGTGTGTGTGTGTGTGTGTGTGTGTGTGTGTGTGTGTGTGTGTGTGTGTGTGTGTGTGTGTGTCTGTGTGTATTTCAGTGCCTGGACAGGTAGATGGCTCTGCTGAAGAGTACATGCGTGTATACAATGCCCTTGTAACACTAGTAGCCATGACTAGAAGCACCATAAAGGATCCTACTGCTCTGTCTGACCTGGATAAGCTGCAGACAATACTAGAAGGTAGTAGCCTGCCCAGATGACATCATATAAATATGAACTATTCAATCCAATTGTAATTGTACCTGCAAACTCACTCACAAGATTGCAGCCTCAGAAAGCAGATATCAATGCTACATTCTTCTCCACATTTCTTCTTCCCTGTTTCACCTGACACAAATGTTTGATTACAAATTTCACAGATTCTAATATTTTTTCTTTTAGAAACGTTCAATGATAGTAAGTCAGCATGGCTGGAGTCAAAGAGTTCAGAGGAAAGAAAAAATCTTGCTCAGCAGTTGAGTCTGAAGCTGCTGAATGAGGTAGAGACCTGGAGCCAGAGTCTAGAAGAAGGAGCCTTCAAGACACATGGTCAGTGTACGGCAGAATAAAGTCAAATTGTTGGACAACAGATCATGTTAATTGAAAATATATTAACATACCTTTGATTTTGAATGTGTTTTTCTCCAGTGTCTCTGCTTACTTCACAAGTTATTCCCAAGATTATGAAATGGGAGTGGGGAACTACAGCCAACTTCCTCTACCAATACCAAGGTGAGAAGACATACCTTTTCAACAAAACAGTTACTTATAACATATCATCATGTTCACTTTAATTTTCATGTTTTTCAAGAACAAGCCTTATTCAGTGCGAGTGGCTGTAAAACGATTAGAATTTTGTTGCGAGGCTCGCTGTTTTGCTTAGCAAGGCGAACTGGCTGCTTATAAAAGCTTCATATTTAATTGATTTAATACTGATTTTATGGACAGAAATTAGATTTTAGTCAACCTTCTATTCTAACACTGTTACTGAGTGTGAATGTGAAGTATCAGAGGTTACAAAAACAGAGATAAAACGTATACTCAACTAGTGGATATTAATTTTGCTCCATATCAACTGGATGTGTAAATAGCTAGTTTTGTTTTTACTTGAGAATGTTTTCTTTCTGTTTCATAAGTAAGCAAATACTGATTTTGTTGGAAGTTAAATTCTATTGCTGGGCAGATTCCAAAAACACGAGTACACATGTTGCTTCATATCTACTGGATGTGTAAATTACTATTATCTTTACTTGAGAGTGAGTTATTTCTTTTTCATCAGCAAATCAATAAGTTTGCCTGAACTTTGGTTGACATTAAATTCTGTTGATGGGCAGATTCCACAGTTCCACCGTGCCTCAGCACTAAAGAAAGGATCCAACTGGTGGACGCCGGGCTGCTGATCAATGTAGGCTACCCTCCATTTCTGGGAGACAAGAGAGACATCGACCTCATCATTGCACCCGAGTACAGTGCTGGAAATATATTCGAGGTACGCTACACTGTGTGTCTCTGTGTCTGCGTGTCTCTTTGTCTGCGTGTTTCTATTTGAACCCTTGAAACTTGCTTAAAAAAGCTTGCACCCTTCCAGGATTGTGTCAACGGCGAGCAAAATATTTGGGTGTCTCCAAAAGCCATCGAATTAACATTTTACTTAAAGAAATAGAAAGAAAGCCAAATAATCGTTGCATATACTGTAACTCCTATCTTTTTGTTAATCAGTTTGAGGTCTTGAGCTCTGGGAGGCGCTAAGGAGGCCCCCTGGCAACTAAAAATGTGTTTAAAAAGTCCCTAATCCCAGGTGGAATCAATAATACATACATGTACCTGTATCTAAGCTACAGACAGTGAAAGGAACGGTTTCAATGTCAAATGAAATCTGTCTATGTGTCTGTTTGATTCACCTTTTTTATGTTGTTATTCTGTGAGCCAAAGATACATTTTCACCCCATAACAATAAAGAAAAAATGAAATCTGCAACTTGATTATGGTTTTGGAGTTGAAAGTGGCTATACTGTTTTGTGTTGGAGCACAGCAGGGGGCTAAAAACAAAGCCCTGGGGGGCTCCGGTGTGTAGGATGAAGGTAAACTTGGGTTTACTTAAGAACAGGATTAGCTGGTAAAAAAAGGCTAAGGCTAAGCCTTCCCCAAATGATTGGTATTGACAGAAGTGCACAATCTTACTACTTACTATAGACTATTGGCAGACTCTACAATTTATGCTATTCCCTCAACGTCTTATCTGCAGACTAGGCTACTACTACTTTACAGTATATTATAATGTCCAGCAACTCCAAGTTTCAGCCTGTAATATAAGGCTATGGTTTCATAGTCAACAAATACTATTAATAATGATCAGGGCAACAATATATTGTAGATTTAGATTGTAGCTTTTTGTTTACGCTTATGTTATTTACTTTGTGTGTGCATTTTACTTCTGTTTATAAGCCGGTCATCTTTGGACATCATTTTTCTGTAGCCTAGTAAGCTAGTTATTGCTTGTCCCGTCAAAATTAAATAGCACTTGCTTAAATAATCCAGCACAGTGTAGCTCCTCATTCTGAGTCTCACCTGCGGACTATGTTTACTGAATAAATGCAACCAAGTCAACCGTCTATTTCAGAGGCTTTAATGCAAAAAATCCAGTCTCACCACTTCCTGGTCCTTCCCTATGAGACTATGCAGCTTAAATACAATTTAAATTAAGCTCTAGTTGCTGGCTCCGGCTAAATGTTCATGTAGTTGTTGGTAATTTAACCAACTGATCAGTCTCACCATGTCTCGTTCCTGCATATTTGTCTCATATAAGTGTGGAATATTTTAACTCTGACCATTAGTAAGACCCAACATTACTACTTTTTAACCCTTTATTAAATTATGCCAAATGATTAAAGGTAGGGTAGGTAATTTTGGAGAAACCGGCTCGAGATCGCTAGAATTTGAAAATACACAGCCGGAAAAAATCTGCCTCTTCCTTACAGAGCCCCTCCTCCAACACACACGAACGTGCACATGACCAATGAGGGCACGAGATAAGTTTGTGCACAGATTTATCCGGGCCGGCTAAAATGATTGGTCGTGCTTTTTACAGTACTACGGCTTCCACAGATGACATTTTTGTATGGATTTTTTGTCAAAGCACTTAAAATATTCATTGCTATCGGGATGTTAAGAGCATTCCATGGAATATAACAAAAAGTGTATCTCGAGCCGGTTTCTCAAACTTACCTACCCCACCTTTAAGTGTCTAACTTAAATATTGCCCAGACTTTGTCCAAGATCATGAAAGCTGTGAAACTTATGAAGCAACCTTCACCCTCTGCTCCCTTCACAGACACTGATCTTTGCCAGAGACTATGCAGCCGAGGTGAATAAATCTTTCCCAGAGATAGATGACAAAGTCCTGGAGGAGAGAGAATGGCCAAAAGACTGCTACGTGTTCGAGGGAAAGGAGACTGAGCTCTCCATTGTGTATATGCCACTATTCAACAGAAACAACTGCAAAGGTTTGTCACACACACAGATGCAGATTATTTTCATGACTTTCTTCTCTGAAGTGGAACTGGTCTGGAGGCAAAAATAATAAGAAACAATGATTTTCATTCAAGTTGTGCACTAGCAAACTAAAACTTCTGTTGAAAACAAAATGTTGGGTACTAAAATGTTTTTCTGTTCATCGTTGACAACTACTTGTGTTTATGAGCAGACAAGTGTATTTGTATTGACCTAACCATTTCATTCCAACATTCTAGACTTGGCATTCTAGAAGTGTACCTCAACATTCTAGAATTATAACTTGGCATTATAGAAGTGTAACATGGAATTCTAGAAGTGTAACTTGGCATTATAGAAGTGTAACATGGAATTCTAGAAGTGTATCTCAACATTCTAGAATTGTAACTTGACATTCTAGAAGTATACATCCATATTCTATCATTGTAACTTGGTATTCTACAATTGTAACTTGACATTCTAGAAGTATAAATCAATATTCCAGAATTGTAACTTGGCATTCTAGAAGTGTAACCCAACCAGTGGCGTAACTACCGACGGTGCAGCCGGTGCAACACACCGGGGCCCAGAGCCGGCCAGGGGCCCATGCAAAAAAAACAAATGGCATTGACCGGTTCACGCAGTCTTCAAAGTAACCAAGCAACCTAAAATAATATTTGCACCGGGGCCAATCACAAAATTAACTAACTAACTAAACTAAAATTAAATCTTAATACACTTAAGTAAGTCACTATCTGTCAACCCCTAATGGTGAGTTAACAGAAGTGTATTTCAATGGGAATCTAAAGATATTGCTTTGATAATTTGTTACTGAAATGTAAAATTCTAGACATGTAATTTAACAATCTTGGAGTGTAAATAAATATTCTACAGTTGCATCAGAAAATGCTACCTATGTGATCCAAAATAACCTTTAAACACAACTCTTATAACAAGCTGTCAGGATGAATGGTAGCTTGAACATGTCTTCTCTGTTTTCTATAGATGCAGAGGAGGTCAAGGCAAGGATGGAGGAGTTCTCCACTTTCCAGCGTCCCTTCAGCCAGGACAAGATTGAGTTTGTGTTGGAGACAGCGAAAACCAACATGGAGAACAACAAGGACATTTTGCTAAGGGAGATTAACAAGGCTGTTCTCCGTCGACAGAACAAGAGGTAAAGATGGATGGGGGCACTGTGAATGTTGGGACAAACATGAATCTCTGCATAGCATGACATCTGTGTGTCTGAGGATCTGTGTGCACGGAGATGAAGTGATAAAAAAAGGATTCAATAATGGAACTTTATATAACATCTGCGCATCAGTGTGTGTGTGTGCTCGTCTGATAGAGAGAGAGATGTGGAAAGATAAATACGTTATTATTAAAAATCTAACATATCCCTCTTTTTGCTTTTTCCCCTCCAGGAAGTCTCTGCTACAGCCGACATCATGTACTTTACTTTAGACTTAAATGTGTATTGGTCTAGTTGCCAGCATAGTGAACATGGAAATGTTGAGTACCCCAAAGTTTTATGATAGAAATGTATGGTACGGGTACGGCATAGAAACTGCCAGATGCTGACTTGCATATGTTGGGTATTTTGCAAAATTAGGATAAGCTGCTTTAGCAAGCATTTATGGCATTATAGCCTAATAGTTAAACAATTGCTTGGCTGATTTCGACCATTTTGGAGTGGTTTTGGGGGTCATTGAGTCCATTTCTGACATTTTCAGAATCAGAAATGGCAGTTTTAACCAGAAAGTGGCCATATTTGTACTATACATTTACTGAAGTATTGTATTTAAGTACTTTTTGACATCATTTTTAACCTTACTAGAGTTATTCTATTTAATGGCACTTTATACATTTGTATTCTTCTACGATTAATTAAAGCAAATATTATACTTTGTACTACATTTATTGTTAACACTCACTCACATATATACTGATATTGTATAAGGCAGTACTGTACTACCAATCTACACAGTATTTCAAGTATCAATGCTAATATGCTCTTACAAGTATTTGTTAGTGATGAAAACCTGATAAAATAAAAACCATAATTGTCAGGGAATCATTTGCCCTGCATGTCCTCCTTCACCCTCTGACGCAAATTCCCAGCCTTGGACAGCCGTTATCTCCCATAAGGAGGGGCTGCCCTAGCATTTTGTTGTTGTTACCAGTTTATGACCTGGCAACTCTCGGTCAGAGATAGTAATTGTTGTGGGACACCTGGAACACATCCTTCTCGGGGTGTAGATGACCCGTGCCATAACCGACAACTAAAGTTGATTCAGTTTCCTCAGCTGTTTAGTCTAACTAATGAAGAATGTTGATTACCCTCAGCAAACTAGTTAAAACCTCCTACCACAGGAAGGTTTCTTCAGAATTGATTTGGCATCTCTACCTGGGGTCAACTCGTGGCTCATGACATGTCGTGTGAATTCTCCGGCCGAAGCTCCAAATAAACCGTCAGTATTTGCCATCAAAGCTCCAGCTCTCCTCGTGTCTCTCTGAGTCCTGTTTCCAATTGCTTCAGAAGTTTCCCCCACAATAATAATATAATAACATAAAGTTACATAAACATAAACTCCATTCTACATCACAAGTATCTTTACTTTTGATACTTGAACTAAATCTCATTTTACCTTATAATATTCTGAAATGGAATCATGGAAAAAAATCAGGACGTTTTACTCGTAGTGGAGTCTTCAAACTCCATAGTATTTTTTGCTTAAAGGTGGGGTAGGTAAGTTTGAGAAACCGGCTCGAGATACACTTTTTGTTATATTCCATGGAATGCTCTTAAAATCCCGATAGCAATGAATATCTTAAGTGCTTTGACAAAAAAAACATAAAAAAATGTCATCTGTGGAAGCCGTAGTAGGCTACTGTAAAAAGCAGCCGGCCCGGCTAAAATAACTGGATGGCCTACCTGCCTGTCAGCCTTCCATCGTGTGTTGGAGGAGGGGCTCTATAAGGAAGTGGCAGATTTTCTCCGGTTGTGTATTTTCAAATTCTAGCGATCTCGAGCCGGTTTCTCAAACTTACCTACCCTACCTTTAAGTAAAGGATCTGAATACTTCTTCCAACACTGTCCTCCATGCAGTATCATTAAAGCCCCCAACCAGGGGTGCAGGGACCCTAAGGATACTTGAGGGGATTGCAGGGGGTACGAAGAGAGATTAGGGATTGCAATATTATTTCCACACAACAATTTTTTTTAAATACATTTTCATAATCCTGGTGTCCTGCCCCCAGAACTACCAACGCTTAAGAAAGACAAGCAAGCTCAAGTGTCTCAATAAAAGGTGTCCAAACTGCTAGAAGTGAGTCTTAATATTATTATTTCACTCACAACAAATGTAAATGTCAAGTTTAAATGCATTTGTATTAAGGGTGAGTTATACAAGTGGGTTTCATCTAAGGAGCATCTGGGTTTAATACAATTACAAAGGGTTTAATACAAGAACAATGTAGGCGAATCATCACAGTGAGGGGGTTCTTATAGAATGGAGACCAGCTCAAGGGGGACACGAGACAAAAAAGGTTGGGAACCACTGCTGTAACCCATAGTTACCGCTAGAGGTCGCACACCGTCCACAGGCAGTTGGTTCTTTATTTGGGTCAATATCACTCCGCAATCATCAGGTCCGGCTAGGTCTGCATCCACAGGTGGCTCTGCCACCAATGGCATTGTGTTTTTGAAATAAAATGAATCACTGCCCTGGATGATTTATAAGATAAGATTGACTTTATTGATACCAAATAAGAAGCTTTTTTCCCGTTACAGCAGCAAAACAAGGCATTTGTCTCACGCATTGAACATGAGGTGTAAAGATAAACAAACACAAAATAGAAACATGTCAAAATAGAAAATGAAACAGAAATAGCCTACAAATATATTCATATTGTAGACAGTAAAAGATCAAATCTGTCAAAAAAAAAACACAATGAAGGGCCAAATTACAACTAACAAAATGTAAAAGTAGGATATTATTACACTAAGTGTGCCAGGAAAAGCATATTCAATTAAATATACATCAAATTTAGAAAAATAGACTGTCACAATTTGTTATAGTGTTTGTCGAAAAGTATTTCGATAACATTTTCTGTGGACGTTTCTGCTATTCTCTCTTTCTTTTAAGCATTTTAAGCACTTTGCATGCTGTCCCAATCCTTTTTGTAATTTTGTATTTATTGGACTGTAAGAAACATATTACATTTTCCTAGTTAAGCCTACTTTACGTGGATACAATTATGTCATCATGAATATTATGTGTGGCAGTGTGTGCGCGCGGTGCTCCGTCAGAAGAGTTCCCGCTGCAGCGCCACAACATCCTCCCTCTCCCAGGAACAACACAGAGGAACAGGAGGATGCTTCATGAGCGGATCTCACAGCTCAAATCTCTTCAGTGTCGATAGACACGGGACCGAGGAGGGTTAAAAAAGAGCGACATGTTGCCTGAACACCATACCGAGGAGCGGAAGAGGACGAATCTCCGGTGAAGCTCCAAACACTGTCGGTGTTCCGCGGGGGGATACACGGGGACCAGGAGCACAAAGTGTGGGGGAAATGTTCAAAGTTCCGCCGTGTGAACGCCCGCAAAGCGTCGTCCCGTAACACCTGCAGAACATGGGCATGAATTGAACGAAGCATGCATGTCGTTTGGGATATATCTGTGATTCTGCAAACATTCATCATCTGCACGTCATCAGGTAGGTGCCGAGATGGAGCTATGACTATCAAAACAACTGAACAAAAATAAGAGAATATCAGATAGTTAAATTGCGTATGAACAAAAATGAATTAAAAGTACAATTTTCTTTTTAAAGGTAGGCCTAACTTATTATGTAAAATCCACTTTTTCATGTCTTTTATACATCAACATGTGTCCCCTGTGTAAAGAGATTCTGAAAGTTTCAGGAAAAAAGATTCTCTCACCTTTTGTCCTGATGCATTGATATAAAAACCTATCTGAAAATGAGCTGATCAGATTTTGGCCACTTGATGATGTCATAATGTTTTTGGGGGTTGTGTAACCATTAGTCAATCACCAACCAAGGTAACCCCCCCCCCCCCCCTTATCACCTGAATCTCCTCCTAGAGCACCATTGTGTTATTTTTAACCAAATATCTCGCAGAGGGGCGTGGGGAGTGGCTCCTTATTTTCATCTAAAGTACCAGACAGAGAATCAGCACTTTTGAAACAGGGCTGAAACAGAGGGTATTATAGGATGCTACAATGATCTGTTTGGTGTTTCAGCCAAACACAGAGACATGTTTTGTATATATCTGAGACCAATAATATATTGATAAAAAACAGGGGGACCTTTAATGTAAATGTTACAGTGATATATTGATTCAGATATTTAGAATTTAGTTTGCTGAATTTAGCTTACTGTACAATCGTCTTAAATACCAACACAGAATCAGAGAATCAGAATCCCTTTATTCGTCCCACAGAGGGGAAATGTACAATAACAGCAAAGAGCCAAAGACAGCTTAATATGTTAAAGGAGACATGTCATGGCCATTTCCACTGATCATAATTCCATTGTTGAGGTCTACTAGAATAGATTTATATTGTGCAATTTTCCAAACTCACATTGGTTTCTCATACAGCATCTCTGTAAACTACGTGTATTCACTGAATTTCACTCTCTGCCTTTAACGGCTCGTTGTAGCTCCAATAGCTCCAGCCCCCACCCTCCCTGTGAGCACAGTGTGCTCTGATTGGTCGGGACGTTGTGAATCGCGCTGAGCTCCGTGGAGGTGTTGTTTCCTTGTTTAGCGATACACAGCGAAACACAGCCAAACTCATCCTGAGCACAAACAAACTCACATCCGAAGTAAAAACAATAAGTGTGGCTTGATATTGAGTAAGAAAAAGGTTGATAAACGCTGTGAGAATGGGTCTGCAGAGAGAATTTTGCCGCGATCCCAACTGTCTGTTATCAGCCTGCAGCCAGGGAGGAGAAATCAGCAGAGCTGCCTGTGTGTGAGGAAGTCCGTGGATTGGTCAATTTGGACCAATCAGTGGGGGCTTAACGTAACGGCTCCGCGGACGCTGCGACGTGCAGTCAGGGGAGGCAGGGGAGGCAGAGCCTCACCTGTCATACTCCAATGTAACGGAAAAACAATTAAAGAAAAACTAAATAATAATAATAATAAAATGTCTCCACTGATCTTGTGTAAATGTGATTTCTGTATGATTCTAATCGCATTTTATAGTCAAAATCAGCAAATTTGCCGAGCTCCGCTACGGGAGCGATGAGAAGTGAGAACTGCCTCACGTAAGCTCACAGTAACTTGCTGGAGCGCGGGCACTAATTTAGCGCGGCCACTTATTTTGTGAGCGCGCTCAAGCCATTTACTGTGGGGTAAGGTGAGGCACAGATGAGATCTGCCTCACTTCAGAATGCGTCACCCCACAGAAACTGGCTGGAAAGCGGGCCCTAAGCGCATGCCTGTTACCATCTCACTGTAGGTCACCAATGTAATGTTTGTAGATCCCTTTATTACATTTATCCTCGCCATCCATAGTCTCTAAATAACTTATTTCACTTATATATGATATTTAGGCTCGCTGGTCTCATCGTACAACGGCAATGAAAAAAGCACCAGGAGAGGCAGCCATAACCTCTGCCGCACTGAAGGGGGCGCACGTAAGCCCACAGGTTCTTGTTGCTACTGTTATTCTACCGCAAACAACAAACTAGACTTTTGAAACTACAGGAAGATAAGGAGGACTTTTACAAAACAGTAATAGAGATTGTTGTCCAGAAGGATAGCATGGACTTCTATTCATCTTCAAGTCAAGGTAAGACCACAACTGTAATGAAAATGGGATCTTACTTAGAAAGAACAATCCAATATTTAGATTTTGGGTATCCTTTTGTTGATCGGTCTGTTTAAAATTAATCATAGCATCAGACTAAAAAAGCTTTTGAAAATAACAGAATATTTCGATTAAGGTCAAAATAGGCTATAATATTTGTAAATCTGACTCAGTGAGTCAGTGCCTCACCAGCCATGAACCTCACCGCACGTCACTGCGCGGACGTAACGTAACGGCTCCACGGATTGGTCCATTTCGTTCCGGGTACGGGGTTACGTCACCCCGTACCCGGAAGAATCAAATGGACAATGACGTATCTCCAACGAGGCCTTTTGGGGAGGTATTTTCTGTGTTAGAGTTTTACTCGCTACAGGGTGTACGTTGAGGGTTTTGACTCTGCAGACCGTTTACATGCATAAAAACCTTCATAACACACAAGGGGACGGTTAATAACCGGAAAAGCATGACATGTGTCCTTTAATATATCACTCAAGAAGCATGCATAAAAAAAAATGAAAGACACAAATCTAGAAATTACACAATTTACAAGATACACATCCAGTTTAGTGATATCGCAGCCAGGTGAAAGTATAAAACTGGTAGTATACATTTCACAGCTATTGCCAATAATGTAACTTGTTACACAAAGTGGGTGGCTTACAGTATTAACATTAGTGTCAACAGGCTGTTTGCACTTACAGTAGCACATATGTCACACTGGAATACATAGCCTTTGAAATGACTGAATTTGGAGTTCGGTTGGGAGGCTTACTTTGAAAATGCATTCCGTTACAATTAATAACTACCTGTTAAAAGATCTAATCAGTAACCTAGCATTAAATCATGTAATCTGATTATTTTATGTTAGATTTGGATTAGCTATATATCAAATGCAATGCAAATTGAGCATATATTTGTTGAACAAATTAGGTGTTCACCTACTGCATTTAAAAAAATAATATATTTAAAGAAAGAAGAATGAAATAAGCCTAAATGAAAACCAAAAATGCAAATTCAGACAGTATACCTATCAAATATAACTAATGGACTACAAAATAGTATAATTAACAAAGCATTACCAGTAAATACTTCTCTAATTTTGATGTGGATTAATTGGACTCCATTATATTGACAGTGCCAGTACTGCTGGCACTGAGTGGTGCAGGAATGAGTCCTAAAACCCAAAAATGAGTTTGCATTTTACCACTTCCTGTTCCGTCTCACAGTCAATGTTTTTTTTTAACCTGTTTTGGTTAAATAAATAAGGTCTGTATCCAACACAACCTTAAAATCATTTTACGTTTTGTTCTACAATATAAAATATGTCAGTAAATAAAACTTGTGAATGTCAAAATCTTTTAAGTGTCTTAAAAATGGCGGTTGCTAACATGTGAGTAAATGAGAATATTAAACGTCATCAAACATTAGCCACCTTTAGCTTAGCGGTGGTAACGCGCACCCATGCGACCGCAATGTGGTTTGTTTATCAGAATCAGAATCAGAATACCTTTATTAGTCCCACGGAGGGGAAATTTGCGTAGTTACAGCAGGAAAAAAGAGCCACAGACAGCTTAATGTTACATATGTTACATGCATTCCAAAAAGTACTAAGTTATGATATATAAGAAAAAATATAAGAAAAAAAAAGTTACATCATTTTCAAAATACACATCCTGTAACAGTTCTTAGGATTTAGCAGCCAGGTATATATTACACAGTTATTAACGGCATATATATATTGCACATATAGCACATATTGCACATAGTTGGTTGGTATTTAGCAGCAAGGGGTGATATAGTCTGTGTTGTGGTGTGTGTAGGGGGGGTTCTACTAGGGGCTGTGCTGGTTGTATAGTCAGTGCTTGAATTGGAATAAAAAAGGTGCCAGTACTCTAAATCAGCAACTGTTTCAAGTCAATTTTATTTATACAGCCCAAAAACAAGAATTTGGCTCAAAGGTCTTTACAATCTGTACAATATTCGACTCCCTCTATCCCAGCGTTTCTCAAAGTGTGGGGCGCGCCCCACTGGTGGGGCGCAGAGATGTGATAGGTGGGTCGCAAATGGACGTGATGAACGGGAGATTATTATTATTAATTAATATTATTTTTTTAATTAAAGGGGACCTATCATGCAAAATGCACTTTTGTACGTCTTTTATACATGAATATGTGTCCCCGGTGTTCCAGGGAACTCACCAAGTGTCAGAAAACACAACCCTCTCTATTTTCCTCCATACCAAAATCTCTAAAAAAGGGGCTGCAACGGATCTGATAAAAACTGATCCAGATTTGAACACTTTACTGACGTCAGTAAAGTGGCGCTACGGCTATTGGGCCAACTCTCCACCTATCAGGGGAATGTGGGGTTGGGCCACGGCCGGCCATTGCCGCTCGAAAGCGCTGGAGACGCTGTAGTACATATGCCAGGCCTGTAAGTGGCGCTGTAGTCTGCCACAAAAGCAGCGAAGAAGACTTCCCGCGCATAGTTACCATGGTTACCCTTCTGTTTATTCTCCGCTGTGGCTTTTTTTCTCCCTCCCCGAGGCAAGCGTTTGCTCCCGCTGCTTTAATTCAATGCAATCCCTCCCCGTCGAGGCAAGCACTGTAATTCTCTCCGGTTAGTCCACCAGCAGATGACAAACACCCACCTCTCCGCCTCTTCCAAGGAACGAGGGGACCGTGCGGCAGAGCTTCAGTTTCAGTTTCTTTCGCCGGTCAAGATGTCCGTTAAAGTTTAAATCTTCCGGACAAAATTAGAAAAGTGCCGGTCAAAGGTCTTCTTTGTTATTTATTGAGCTTTAAAACAAATGAATAACGACTCTATATAATAATAGGCTATAATAAAACACGGAAGACGGAGATCTATTTTTCTCCC